TTACATGCTTTCGAACAGCTAGGTTGGGACAAGTAATGGGAGCTCACTCCGTTACACGGCACTAGGGATTTGAACCATCGAGCTGCCAACCTTTCTGATCTACAACCTCAGCTTCTTAGCTGTTGAGCTAACACGTCCCTTACAATTACAATTTGTAACCTATGACTATCATTAAGTGTTGTACCTTATGATTAATGACAAATGTATCTTTTCTTTTATGTACACTGAAAGCATATGCACCAAAGACAAATTCCTTGTGTGTCCAATCACTTAGCCAATAAAGAATTCTATTCTATTCTATTATTGATAAAATCCTACAAATTCATACAAGAGACCCCAGGACGAGCTCCCCATGAGGTAGAGAGAAATCAGAGTTTTACTAAGGCTATTTCACAAGTTCACACCATGCATTTGATTACAGTGAATATAGCTAAAAAAAAACTGGATGGAAATGTTTGCAGGTATATCATAATATAGAGTTGGATTCATATAACATCTAACCAAGCCTTATCTCTTAGCAATGTGTCTATCAGGAAGCAATATTTATTACTTCTTCCTGAGAGATTGTCATATTATTCTTGATATCCAAGGAACTGCCTAATGCCTTCACTCATTTTTCTCTTTTAAGATTACCTGCATGCTCCACCAAAGGATGCAATGGGGGAGACGAGGTGGGAAGGCAGGCAGAAGAAAATGTTAGCCACAGAACCAAACACTCAGAGTGCATAACATACATTGATTAAACGCAAGAAGGTTGCTGAGAAAGAGCTCATCCAGATATTTTCTTCCACTGAAAACTGCTGCCGTATCCCTCCAGCAGAAAGAACTGTGGATGCTTTGGAATACTGTAGGGAAACAAGAGAAGTAGCGAGGAGTTACTTAGCTGTACTTAAATCTTCCCTTCCAAAGTATTTTAGTCTTACAAATAGTAGCAAAAAGACGAGGAATAACATTGGTAGGACAAAATACTGAATTTGCTCATATCGGTATTTTGCAATTTAATGCATTATTTATTTCAATTAATTATCTGTATTCATTTCCTTTGTTCATGTTCACATTCATACTTATACCTGGTATCTTGTACCTGTTTGACAAGCTAATAAATAAAAAATAAATAAAATGCACTCTGGAACTCACAGCCAAAGTGCAGAACCTCCTCTAGATTTAGTTAATCTACAACTCCCAGAATTTCTTCAACTGGCCAAGGCTGGCTGACCCTACAGGGTTTTTCTCAACAGCCACTAAAGTTCTGCGGCTCTAATTACTCTCCAACAGTAAACCTTTAGAAATAATAAACCTGAATATCCAGGGAAGGGAAATGAAGACAACCCTTCATTGCTAGCTAACTCTCAATTTCATATTTCGTTTTGTTTAAGAGGAACTGAGATAAGGACTCACAGTATTGTCTCTCTCAATTACCAACACTCGAAGGGCATTTCTGCGTGTTTCTTTGACTTTCAGCCAATAGGCAATGGACCAGCCTATTATCCCACCGCCAATGATCACTACATCGCACTGCTCAGGAGGGAGACTTCTTGTTGGATAGATGGAATCGAAGTCAGTCCTGAAGTTGTGGAAATTGGTCAGCTTTTTAAATTCTGAAAGAGAGAGAAGCCAGGACAGCCATGTTAAACAGTGTTTTGTGAATTCTAACAGTCACTCATGTCTTTATTCTCTTACAGTCTTATATGACCTCATGTTCACAAAGTTGAGACTCACTGATTGGACAGCACATTAAAAAAAATCAGTCATTTATTGGCCTAGAGATGAAGATGCTCGCCTCAAAATCAGGAGGCTGAGAGTTCAATCCTAGGCAGCGACAAAAAGAAAATATCTGCTGTAAACTCTGTATAGGCATCAGGAAGGGCATCCAGCCAATAAATGCTCAGTTCCATTCAGTTGCCCTGACTCCTCCCCAATAAAAGGGATTACAGGTAGTCTTCAATTTACGACCACAACTGAGCCTAAAATTTAAGTTTATAAGTGAGAAAATTGTTGAGTTTTGCCCTATTTTACTTGCCACATTGTTAAGTGAATCGCTGAAGCAAATTAGTAGCATGGTTAAGCGATCACATGACTCCAGGGCACTGCAACCATCATAAAAGTGAGTCAGTTGTCAAGTGTAAACCATGTGAGCCAAGATGGCGCAGTGGTTAGGGTGGAGTACTGCAGGCCATTTCAGCTGGCTGTTATCTGCAGTTCAGCGGTTCAAATCTCACCG